CGAAAAGGAACGAAGCTGTATGTCATAATAATTAAGAAGAAATGTTCCAGTAGCAACTACTTGAGATAAAAATAAAATATTTTTTGATCTAATATTAGATATATCATTATTGTTTTAGGGTATAATTGTTTGGAGAGGGATTAAATCTCCTGTAATATGAAAAAGATCAACTATTGTTGAGGAAGTAATGAAGGAAAAAGTAGAATCGTGATAGGTGAAAATAAAATTTGAAAGGAAGTTCGTATGTCTATGGTGTTTTAAAAACTTAGGCTAGCAGACCAGAAAATTATTATATAACCAAAATCTCTGTTATAGTTATTTAAGTCTAATCAGCATAGAGAGACCCAAAATCGTATCATCAGGAGAGTTAATAATATTGATGGATTGTTGAATTTTTGAAGTTTGAGAAATAGATGATAAGTCATTAAAACCATAAGCAAGCTTATTATAAATGATTGAGTTTGGTATGCCTCATCTGAGTCCTAATTTATTCTTGATAAGTTTCCTCATGGGTTTGTATAAAAGATCATATTTGAGTTCAGAGAGAATTGTAAGTCTAGATCTATATTACAAACGAGGAATAAGAATCATATTATTCAAATATCGTAGTTGTTTATCCATAAGAGATTTAAATTTTAGTTTGTCTCTAAAAGAAGCTATTTCAGAAGAAATTTGATGTTTAATAAAGTTTTTGTTATATTGAGCTGAAATCCAAACACCCAAATATCTTATTGAATCTTTAGGTGATATATATTGACATTCAAATGAACTGTTATTAGAGGAGCATTGAAACATAATAGATTCAGTATTAACATGATCTGTGATCAAATATGATTTATCAAAATTAACTTTCATAGAGTTAAGGTCGTAAAATATCTAGGCGATATTTAGAATACTAGAAATTTGATTATAACTGTTAGCAATCCATATGGTGTCATCCATAAAGGTCAGAATATGAATAGTGACATTGAGAGATTTTGTTATTGATTCATTAAGATCAGGATTCTATACAGTATTCATGTTAAACCTAATTCAGTTTTTTTAATATGATCAAATAACAGATCGTAATAGATGACCTATAAAAGGGGTGAAATAACTTCTTCTTAATCAATGCTAACAAGAATGTCGTATGGATCAGTTAGGCCAAAGCTAGTAAAAATCTCATTAGTCCTATTAAAAAAAAGTTCTATAATTAAATTGATTAGGATGTTGGGAAATTTTAACCTAGCCAAGGCTTTTTTTAACATGAAAATATTGACTCGATCATAAGCTTTTGACATGTCTTGAAATAGAATGTGTAAATCTTTTTTATAATCAGGATCTGTTTCTTTTTTTAAACGATGATATTCAATAAGATTGTTAATTATATGAAGAGGTTCTAAGGTAGATTGATGTGAAAGGTCAGCAAAATTTAGACCTGATAAAACTTTAGAATCAATAAAGGCCTTTTGCAGTCTGGCATTTAGAATTTTTGTGAATGTTTTGTGAACAGTTTCCAAAAGAGTAATCAGTCTGATATTATTTAGATCACAATTCCATGGTTTTAGTTTTGATATAGGAAACATGTGTGTTAGGTTTCATTGTTTGGGCGTGAGACCAGATGAGAAATAGGCGCAAATAATTTATATAAAAATTTGTTAGCAAATAGACCCAATTTTTTAAGGATTTCATTAGAAATGTTGGAAGGCCTAGAGGCTTTATCATTAGGAATGTGTTTTAAAACGAGAAGCCATTTATCATAAGTGGGAGCGTCAAGTATATGTTCATAAACATCATCATCGATACTTGATAGAAGTTGATAAAAGGATTCCTATTGTGACCATAAATTTGCAAAATAAGACTTCGTTGTATCTGTGACTATACATGAAGTTGAAATAGATCATTTCGGATATCAGAAATGGTCAAAATGGTCAAAATCATTTTTTTTTGATACTTTTACTAGGCACACACAAGTGGTAATATATTTGGATGCATATCTTTCAACAGAATGATACGTCTTACAACACATCTAATTCCACTATTAACCCCCTTTGCTATATTTCAAACCAGTATGGGTTGGTGTTAAACCTAGATGAATGAGTGTCAATATCTGAGTAAACTGCCAAACCAATGAACCTTCAGGGTAGAGAGATATGATATCCGGCCATCATTCACTATTTATCACAACTACTGGAAAGAGGGTCAAGAACAACCTAAGATGATAGCCTGCACTATAGTTGCCTCGCTATATGTCAAAATTACCCCAAGAATCGAACCTAAACCTCCAAACCCTAGTTGTAATATAGACATCACAATGATTGAAGACAGTGCAATATCAACCACCTATAACCTACGACTATTGTTCAATCCAGGTTATACAATGCCTACCATTGACCTATCTTCACGGGTACCCTTTGCAGATGATGTGGTACTTGTTCATTACAAACCAGTCCCTACTATCGGTTCCAAACTCAATTGGTTCACGATAGGTGAGAATATCTATTACTACTACCTGTTGTCAGGATGGTATGGATTTAAACGAAGCGAACTTACACCATATTGGTGGTAGCTACCATCACACCTTATAGACATCTCAGGGTCACTATATTCTACAAATTCGTGATCTTCAACGTACATGGTTTGTACGCACCCTATGAAATTCATTCTTGGAATCGAATCAGTAAATCCCATAAATTAAATTATTATGATCTGCCTTGGCCAGGGGCTGAACTAGGGTCTATTGCGATGTAACCTACAATAGGTCTCAGTTGTTACCAACTAAGATAGGGCGGTGAGACCCTGGTCGAAATTATTTCAACCATTGGAGAATGACGTTATATCACATGATTTTTCATATTGAGAAAACAATAAAAAACAAAAGATGTACGATCTCGGTCAATATCGCTCCAATTCGTATCGTATGAAACAACTACCATTCAATTCCTCACGACCAGACGAATCCAATGAGCTAACATTCATTGATTTCGGATCATCCAAACATGAGATAATCGCAATTGTATTATCGGCCGAAATTATAAATCAATAAATTCTACTTTACATAAAGGAGTCTGGATTTCGAAATACGATCGCAAATATCTCGAGATGGGATGATCCCAAATCAATGAATGTTAGCTCATTGGATTCGTCTAGTCGCGAGGAATCGAATGGTAGTTGTTTCATACGAATCGGTGCGATATTGACCGAGATTGTACATCTTTTTTTTTTATATATAAAAATCATGTGATATAACGTAATTTCGACTATTTCAACTTTTCATTTCAACTTTGACCTCCAAAGTCGAAATATTTTGACTTTTTGGGTTTTCATTTCGACTTCATGTATATCTGTAACATCAAGATTTTGAGTACCAGCTATACTCTGGAAATGTAAGGTAGTGGCATTTTTGATTTTTGATAGATCTAGTTCTAAAAATAGATCAGTATTTGGTTTGTTAATTAATACTCGATCGAGAACTAGATCTTTCGAGGAAGGAGTCTATCATTTTTGAGGTAGTATCTTTATAATTATCAACATGTTGTAATATATGGGCTTTGATTCGATCATTAGTTTCTTGTTTAAAGACTATTTTCAATTTACATTTCAAAGGTTTAATAATAGAAGCTTTTAAATCAATAAAGTATGCATTTAAATTTTTTTGGTGAAAAAGTGAATCAAGTAAAGCAGAAGAAATTCTATGTTTCTTAGCAATGGTTAGGATATTATTATACTCTTCGCTGGTAATATTAAATAAAAAAGTTGAAGAACTAAGAGTAGCAACTTCTTTGTTTATAAAGATTTTAGTTCAGTGATAGATTTTGTAAAGTTTTTTGATTTGCTTGTGAATAGTCGAATTATCATAACAGAAAAGAAACTTATGATGTAAAGTAGTAGTAGTTTTGGGAATATGTTTGTTAGTAGCACATAGAACTGAAAAGACGAAAAATTCCCATGCTTGATTTAAAGCTGTTTGAGAGGAACCTAACATGTAGCTATTATAGTTGTAATACTTATTTGACTCTTTGATTAACTTATCCAGTTTATCAGAGAATAGGTCTCAATGTAAAATTACAGTTTTTTCAAAATTAAAAGATTTGCGTATTATTTTGTGTTATTTGCAATAAGCATTGAAAGAGTTGTAGAAAATATTGTTTTTGTAAATGGTGATGTGTAAAGGAAGATGGTCAGATTCGTAAACAGTACTAGTAGAATCGAAAATTTTAATAGAAGTAAGATTGTGAGAGAAAGATGATGAAGTGAAAATGTAATCAAATGTGTGTTTGAGTTTTTTGAGGGGACATAAACATATGAGGTAAATTTTTGAAAATGTCAGAAATTATTGAAGTGATATGAATAAAATTTAGGTTAAGTATTTTGTCAATGAAAATCTAAAATTCTGATTTTTTTGAGAACTGTTGTTCTTTTGTTATAGTTTGTAGAAGTCAATGTTGAAATTGCCCATTAAGACAATATGATAAGATTTGAGCTGAGCTTCAAGAATAATGTTGATTATAATAGTTTCTAATTTAGATCTGAGATCTAATTGGTCACGCTCAGTGGTATTAGCTGGAAAGTAAATTTGGATTATTCTTAATTTAGTCTTATTTTTAAATTGTAAATTTATATAGGCAATTCTATTGAGAATGAACTTTTGAAAAAAATGTGTTGATAAAGGTAAGATCTAATAATAAAACTAACGTCTTGATAATTGATTTAAGAATTATCTGATGAAAATATGAATTTGTAGGGCTTATTATGAAAAATTTTTGAATGATAAAGAGCTTGAGTTGAGTTTAGATAGGTTTCACTTAAACCTAAAATATCTAAATTGTAAGTAATAAAAAATTGTTCAATCTGTTTCAATTTTTCATTGAAAACTCAACTTTGGACATTTTGAGTAGCGAAAGAAAAAAAATTTGGATCATTGAAATGAGAGTAGAAATTGTCGTTTGTTAGGATCTTTTCATTATCATTTCAGTGAACTAAATGAACACCATTATTTTGGGTAAATTGATATACATTCATTAATTGGATGAGGTAGAAGCTTGAATCATAGAATGCAAAGCAGTTGAAATTTCATGAATTTCAGATCTGATATCATTGACAGAAGTTTTAACTAAAACAATTCTATTGAGATTATTCGTTTGTGAGTTAGAAGATTCATTGGGAGCAACATAAGATGACGATTCATCATTATTAACATGGGTTACTGATGGGTTAATATGCATACATTCCATTTCCTTATCACTGTTATGAAGAGGAAATTCGTAAGTAGGATCATTAACTTAATCTGGATCGTGTATTATATAGTACATGAATTCAAGACGATTGAGGCAAAAAGTGATGTCTTTTTGGTTTTGATCTTGTTTTATAGCAGCATTTTTAAAGGAGATAATCTCATCATCGATTGATAGAAGTTTATTTTCAATGATATCCAGTTTTTCTTAAATGATTTTAAGAGCATCAACGGTATTTGGTAGAATGTTAAAGCCTTTTTCTTGAGGTAAGTTGGGATTTTTTTGATTAGTTAGAGTTTGGGAATATAATTTAATAGGACCATTATTATTGTTAGAAAATGATCTAGGAGATCAGTATTATTCTGATTTAAATCTATAATAGAGAGAACGATAAGGATTGACAGGTTTACGATTATTACATTCTTTGAATTTGTGATCTGGTACACAACAACTTCTGCAGTATTTTTGGAAGGTTCCATCCAATATAAAATTCTGCCTTTGAACTTTTGAGATTGTGCGACAGTAGCTTTAAAATCATTAACACTAGCAAAATTAATAAATGCGTAAGGCCTAAGTCTGTATTATTAATCATGTAATATAAAATATGATTTGGCGTTGATATGAAGTAAGAAATCGATGAGTTGGCATTGATCAATATTAAAGGGTAAACCTGTGAGCTTTAACTCAAATTGTTGTCTCAAAGCAGTTTGTAAAGGATCTGGATCAGTAGGTTCCACTCTAAGGAGAAACTTTAAAAATGTAACTGATCACATTCTTTTGTAAAATGGTTTAATAGCAGCTGGATTTTCAAACATAATGAAGGTGATCTGCCAGGATCCATGGATAATCATTGAAAAGTGGAAGATAATATTTCAGGCAAAACTAGTTTCATCTAATTTGATCTACAAAGTATTTCCAAATTAAGGTTTCGTATAGTTTCAGATATATAAGGTAAAACTCAAAGTTCACTGAGCAAAAAGTTTCAGATTTGATAAAATGGTTTCACCCGAAACACTAGTGGAAGATCTTTTCATATTTGGTAAAGTAATTTCTTATTACATCTGATTTAATAAATAATGGAATATCAGATACTTTTATAGTCCTGCCTTTTTCGATATCTTATCTTTATTATTTAGCTGTAGAATCGACAATTGTAAAAATAGGATTATGTTGTGTTTCTTGTGTCTTTGTGAGTGCATTTTAAGGGAGTCCATCGTATCAAAGTAGAAAAAGAATTTTCTAATTTTGGAAATGTAAGTTGAGTCTTGAAATCTATTATAGTGAACAAAGAGGGAGTTAATAAACGTGTGTTTTTCTGCAATAGAATTTCCTTTTACGTCTTAGGCATTATCTGTCACATAGAAACGTGTAGGTGCAGTAATTATATTAAAGGATACTTCATTGTTGTCTTGGTCATGTGTTTTATCCTTGTTTTCCATTTTTTTAGATCAGATGTTTTCTTTTATTTACCTTTGTTGGTGATAACTTGATTGGTGATAGGATAAAGTATGTTGTTATTGTTTTTGGATCATTAGAAGAACCAGAAGCATGTATTGAATCATTGGTAGTATTATTAACTAGGGTGGAAAGAATATTGTTGTTAGAAATATTAGTAGTTGAGTCAATATCTATAATTTCAGAAGTAGTTGGTTCAAGTGTTAAGTTGATAGTGATGGGAGAAGAGTCATTTCCTGTGATAATGTTATTGATAGTTTGTTCCAAAGGGGTTTCTATTTTATTTAGAGAAGACATATTAGAAGAAAGTTTTATTTTTTTGGTTATTCAGTTATTCAATTTGTTCGTTATTGTTGCTTGAAAAGCTTGAAGAAGTGTAATCGTTTGTTTCATTTATTATTTGTAAGTGTTTGAAAAGTTTGTCGAGCATTTTTATTTTTTGTTTGTCTAGTTATTGGTATTTTTTGTTATTTTTGTAAAAAAGAAAAAGAGTTTTTTAAAAAATTAAAGATTTTTTAAAAAAAATAGATCAAAAAAATTTTTTTTAAACATTTTATTTCGTTTAATTTGATTAGTTGACGTGATGTTAACCTGAAAATTTGTCTATCTGACCTGGATTTTTCAAGTCAGGTCACAGGTTGGCCTGACCTGATTCAAAATTCTAACACATAATGTTCATTCTCTTTGAGATGATGTCAAGAATAGCAAGATATTAGATACTTTTTACCAAAAGAACGTCAATTTTGTTGCTTTATCTGAAATTTGGCATTAATCTTTACAATCTTATAGATATTCTTCTGATCCCAATTTTGATATACTGTGGAGTTCAGTCTCTAATAAGTTTACAGGTGTTGGTATACTGATCAGCAAATCTTAGTCAAAGCACTTTGCAAAAAAATTCTTGAATAATGATTGTTATATTTATATTGATCTTTACTTAAAAAGCAATGTTAAATTAAGAGTTTTTTCTGTTTATATTTATGCTACTAAATCTAAAGAAAGGAAAGTTTTACATACAATATTATTATGACTTATAGATAATTCCCTACAGTCTGGTTTTCACATTATCATTATGGGCGATTTAAATGCTGATCTAATTAAATTACAATACCTCATCTTCATTGATTCTGATAAAACCATTCCTTGAAAGTATAATCTTGTAAATGGCCTTGTACTTAGAAACTTCTTGGACTTATATGATATATGTTATGATACACCCTTACCTACATTCAAAAGATCAAATACTTCTAATCATATTAATGCAATCTTTGCTTCTCAAAATCTTATTTCTGACTTTCTCTTTTGTAATATAGTTCATTCGTATCTATATAAATCAGATCACGAGATTGTTATTGCCTATTTTTCTAATATTCAACATGAGTCTCAATCTCATTCAAGAATCAATAATACCAAAAGAAAAGTTTCTCTTCTTAAATCTATAGACTCTTCAAAATGAACAAGTTTGCTGAATATTCTGATACCTATTATAATAACCACAATTATGATTGCTTAAAAGATCTTCTATCCAATCATACAAATATAAATAATCTTTGGATAGAAGTGAAAAAGCTGTTCTAGATATTAGTAAGTCTAAAATTTCTCATAAATGGATTTTTATTTAAGATCGTAGACCAAAACCAAAAAATCTCTTCCAATATTATCACTTACTCACCAAGATCAAAAAGATTTTACTAAAATTTTGTTCTAAAAGATTAAATGAAAGGCTATGGCCTATTGGTGAAGAATGAAAATGTGATCTTAACATTGTTGCAACTATTATCAATGATATATCATATCTTTTAGATTCTCTATCTCTTTTTATTAATTCATCTAATGTTAGAGAAGCTAAAAAATCTCTTATTAGCATCTATAAAGTCTTATATAAGCTCACCAAATTGGATGCTAAAAAAAACACTGATGCTCAAATTAAATCACTTACTGGAAAAAGATGTGATCAACTAGAATGTCAACCTGGCAGAATAATAGATTCTATTCTACAAAGGAAAAAAAGAAAAATAACATTGGATCGAGTTTTTATCAATAATAATTATGGTTCTAAATACTTTACTTTAGATCCTGTTGTAATCAAAAAAGTTACAATCAACTACTTTCAGAATAATGTATTACTATCGACACCCTCAAGATCTTTGGATAGAAAATGGATCTTACAATATCATCTGAAGGAATACATATCTGAGAATATATATGATAATCTTATGCAACCTTCAACTTATAATAAATAGTGTTCAGTTCTTTCACACTCAGCAAAAGATTAAGCTGCTGGACCTTCAGGCATTCATAATAAAATGTTTCAACATTTAGAAGTTAAATTCAAATACTTAGTTTGGCAATTAATTTATATGTGTTTTGACATTGGTGACACTCCTAGTGAATGGAAAATTGCACATATATACCCAATTCCCAAACCAATAGAGTGAGAATATGATATTACAAAGATTTGTCTAATCACATTATTAGAAATATTACGAAAAACTTTTGTTAAAGTAGTTATAAATTGACTCTCAAAAATTCTTGTCAAACTCCTGATAGGTAACAACTTTGCTGGTTTACCTGGAGGTTCTACAATAAAACCAATCAAAATTCTAAATATGTTATTAGAAGATACTAATAAAAATAAAAAAGAGCTTTAGATTCTATTGCAAAATTTTTTTAAGGCCTATGATCATGTAGACCTTAAATTTCTTCATCTCGCTTTACAACGTATCAAGATTCCTACTAATGGTGTAAATCTAATCATCAACCTCTTTGCTAATAAAAAAAATGCAATTTTTACAGCTGATGATTTTACTGATTATTATGATATTAAAATCAGTATTGATTAAAAAGAAGTTATTTTTTCTTTATTATGTTACATTTATCTTAATCCTCTTTATGTAAAGTAAATACTTTAAATAAAAGATACACAATCTCACATACATAGACCAATAATATAAATAACATAATTAGCAATACTACTATGATTCTTTCAGAAGCTGTATCATCCTTAGCTTTCATGAATAATACTAACTGGATTGCTAACTTTCAGAAAAACTTAGAAGAAATTCTTGCAATAGCAGATGACTTTTATAACTTAATTAGAGCTGCTCTAAATAAATCTAAATCAAAGTTCATCACAACAAAATCATATACATCCCAAACTATTGACATTAATTTTAGTTTTTCAGTTGTTAATATTATACCTGAACAAATTTCTGTAAGATTCCTTAGAATTTGGATCAATAGGTCTAACTTCCAAACCTTTATTAAAACGTAAGCTCAAAAAGATATTGGTCACCAAAAGCCAAACACAACACATCTTACCATGGTAGCTCCAAATTAACACAACCTTCTGTATTTCAAAGAAGGTTACTTTATTGGGAAGTTAGTACTAGCTGATACAAAACTTTAATTCTGACATAAAATTGATTTTTTTTTTTAGAAAAAAAAAAATTCAATTTGTGATTCCAAAAAAAAAACCATAACATTAATTCTCAGTCACCCGAGAAAGTATAAAAGAACTCATACCTGATATTGATTTGTTAATC